GCTGGGGACTTGCAGGACGTTGCTGTCGGTTGTTAGCTCTTAATCCAGTGTGGATGAAATCCCGGGTGTTCGCAGCAAGCCAGGCTCCACACTTACCCTTTCTCTCTCCTGTTCCTCTCTGTGCCTGGGTCCTGGCTGCTGCTGCCGTCCGTCCCAAGTGGTCAAACAGAGGATGCAGATGTACAACTCGCCTTACCAGCGTGTGACGGACTGTGTACGGACTGTGTGGCGCAACGAAGGGGCTGGAGCTTTCTACCGCAGCTACACCACCCAGCTCACCATGAACATCCCCTTCCAAGCCATTCACTTCATGACCTACGAGTTCTTGCAAGAGCAGCTCAACCCCCACAGACAGTACAACCCAAGCTCCCACATGGTCTCCGGGGCCTGCGCGGGGGCCGTAGCTGCTGCTGCCACTACCCCTTTGGACGTTTGCAAAACACTGCTCAACACCCAGGAGTCCCTGGCTTTGAGCTCCAACATCAGCGGACACATCACAGGCATGGCCAATGCCTTCAGGACGGTGTACCAAGTAGGCGGTGTGACTGCCTACTTCAGAGGGGTCCAGGCTAGAGTCATTTATCAGATGCCCTCGACAGCAATTGCCTGGTCTGTGTACGAGTTCTTCAAATACATCCTCACCAAGCGCCAGGAGGAGCGTTGGGCTGGGAAGTGAGCCAGAGCCAAAGCCCATTCCAGACCTGCTTCACCTCCCCTCCTGGTTTGTCTTCTGACCCTCTGCCTTTTGGTTTGGTTTGTGCTGAAGAGAGGGGGCAGCAAAGCCCTTCTGGGCAGCGCCATTTCTTGCCTGTGGCTGCTGCAGCCCTGCCCAGGCTGCTCAGCTTGTGCTCTCATCTCCTCTCAGATTTCCTGCCGAGAGCTACGGCCCAGGTTGCTGCCCCTTGCACTCCGCGGAGCTGCGCTCCTGTCCTTCCCGTAGCGAAAACCTCCTCTGATGCAAAGCTCACCCGTTTTTGGAGGGGAAGGTGAATGTCCTGCCCTGCCGCTGGCAGGGTAACGCTGAGCTCGCAGTCACCGCGGAAGGGGCAGCAGCGCTGCCTGGGGTGCCGAGGGCTCTCGTCTGTCTTTTGGCTGAAGCGGAGTGTAAGCCTTGCCGTTGTCTCGTAGCACGCACACGTGATGCTGACTGCCCTGGTGGTGGTGGTGGTGGTGATGGGGAAGGATGGCACTTGAGGAGGGGAGTCTGTAGGTTTGTTACTGTTCCTGCTCTTGACACCTCCAATAAAAACAGTTCTGCTCTATTCCTATGTCCCGTTTACTCCCAGAGGGCCCAGTTTAAGCGGTAGTGAGGAATATTTCTCTGTGCCCAATGCTGGGTTCTTTTGGAGGGCTCTTTGATAAGGTGGTGGGCTTGAAACTACCCACTGGAAGCTTTGGAGCAGGAAGGAGACAGACATGGTGGTGTGGTCAGTGGAGGTTCAGGTGTGAAGGACGGAAATGTCTTTTGCAGCCCTCCTCAGGAATCTGAGGGAGGGAGGCACAGTGCTCTGCTCATCCTTGGGGCCAGCCCTCTGCTGAGAGTTGTGCCCTGGAGCCTGCCCTGAGAGAGCCGGGAGCGCCAGGTGAAGAGGGGAAAAAGGGAGATCCTGAGGGGAAAATGGCGGCCAGGGAGAAGGCTGTGCTGGGAGATGGGCCTCTGAGGGGGACGGGGTGCGGGAGCAGAGCTGCGGGGAGAGCACAAAGTGCTGGGGGAGCTGCGGAGCTCCTGGAGCAGCGGGAAGGCTCTCCCGGCCCCCGGCGCCGGTCCTATCGTTCTCTGTCCATGGGTCCTCACGGAGCCTCCAGGCTGCTCTGAGCAGCACCAAGGCAAGAGGTCCCGGGTCGTGTGCACTGAGGGCAGCGCAGGAGCCGGGCAGGGCTAGGCTGGAGGCCGACACGGGCGTTTCTGCACCTCGCTCACGTAGGTCTGGGGCTTAGGGAGACTCGCATCTCCCCCTTTTGAATGACTGCACTAGTTTGTGACTTGGTGGGTGCAACTGTTTAAAACGCTCCCTGATGCTCAGGATGCTAATGTTACTTCTGATCTAACAATAATTAATACTTTTTTTTTTGCTTTTGTTAGCTGTGTCGCTACTGACCACTTTTAGAGTCTCGCTAAGCTCTGGAGCTCCTGGCCCACCTTACCAGGTTGAGCACCAAAGGATCATTTCAGTTGATTTGAACTTCCCAGACGGGAACCTTTGCATATATTGAGTTGGACGCCAGCGTGGGGTGCCTGGCTCTAGCTGGATGCCCCAGGGCAGGAGATCCAGGGAACCGCTCCGAGGAGGCTGCAAGCGGGGCAGGACGACGGCTCCGTGTGGGCCGGAGCCGCACAGCTTGTGCTGGACGGCGGGGCTCCCACCTCGGAGCCGGGCAGTGCGTCCCGTGGCACCAGGAGGAGGCACCTCGATCCCACGGTGCCAGGCCCAAAATAACTCCCTGGAGGAAATGCGTTCACAGCTGTGGTATGCGATGGCTGCCTGCATCTTTGTCAGCCTGGGGCTGTTCCAGTCGATCCTCCGGCCGGTTGTGTCCTGCGCGGAGGAGAGCTGCACCCGGCCGGCCCCGCTCTCCCGGCTCGGGCCAGGGCAAAGAGGAGTTTTCCCAGTGCTGGAAGGGTGCGGGGCTGGCGCCCAGGCAGGGAGTGGGGTGCCCAACGTGGTGGGCAGCCAGCGTGGGATGTTCTGCCCTCGGTGATGCCCTGCTGCCGGCCAGCGCTGCTCTGAAATGCCCTCTGCACCGCAGGTCCTTGTGCCAACACCCCTGCACCAAGCCCCATCCCACCTCCATATTTCTTTTACGGATTTCTCCTCTGGTTCCTAGCGCAGGTTGAACCCGGTGGGAACGGGAGCGTGCCCAGGGCTGCGCAGCAGGTCGGCTGTCAGGGCACAGGCAGGCCGTGTCCGTGCGCCTGCCCTCTCCTCGCCGGCACCGCTGCAGGCCCCGCTCCCTGCTTTTTCTGCTCAAGCCAGAGGATTAGAAACTCCTTAAAGAAACCAAGGGCACTGGAAGTGAGGAACCTCCAGTTTTCCCACCGCCTCAGGAGCTGGGGCTTTAAGAAGCAGTCTGGGTATTGCAAGATTTGGCAGCTGAGCTACTCCTCCACCCAAGAGGGAGAAACCCGAGAAGCAGAGATGGCTGGGAGAGACCAAGGGAGGATTAGGAGGCAGTGCCTTGGGCTGGAGCTTGCCAGCAGCGAGGCAGCAGGAGACTGGGAGGACTGAGCAGGGGCGGAGAGCTGCTCCGAGCGAGCGCAGCCTCCGGCCTTGCCACGGATCCGGGAGATTACAGGCACCTTGGAGGGAACGGCATAAATACGGGCAGGGGCTGGGGAGCTCTGGGAAGAACTCCGCACAATTGAATCCATGAGGCCCTGGGAGGAGCTCTATAAATGTCACCAGGTGAAGTCATGATTGAAGGTGGCTTCAGGCTGGGGAGAGAGATGTTTCCAAGAATAACTTCCCAGGAGAGTGCTGGGGGAGGGAGCAAGATGCGCGGGAATGGGAATATTATAAATCCACCCGGCATGGAGAAGCTGCTCCTGCAAGTGTTTGTTGTGAGCAAATCTCTCCCATGTTTGGGCCCTTATAGGTTTCCTGGGGCTTTGCCAGCTCACAAGCAGCTGCGGAACACTTCATTTCTCTGCCTTTGCACTGACCGCACCTGCAAGCGAGATACCAGCCCCAGGACCCCGCGTCCTGCAAACCTGCCTGCAGCCAAGGGCTTTGCCTTCCCCAGGGGCTCCCAGTCCCTCAGGGGTCAGTGCTCCTGGGTGCCTCATGCAGCTTTCCCAATACAGCAGGCCTGGATCAGGCCGGTGCCCCCAGGTTTGTGCTCTGCAGGTCTCCTGCTTGTGGTGGATGGTGCGGTGAGGCATGTCCCTGGGGTTCCGCCCTGCAGCTTTGGGTAGCGGACACCTGGCCCCAGTTTCCTGCTTTGCTTCGCAGGGCTGAGGGGTGTCCCCTCGCGAGCACCTGTGACATTTGGCCACAGTGTCCTGTGGGCGCCTGCGGGAGTTGTTGGCTGGTTCTGCTGTGGCCGCTGCCTTTCCAAGGTTCTGCCGAGGCCTCGCTGCTCCAGGCCTGCCCTGTGGTATCCCAGGTATTTGGCCATGCTTCTTGTGAGATCTCTCCTACAGCCTCTTCCAAGGAAAAAGGCTATTTTTGGCTTCCAGCAAGGATGCCACCCTCAGCCCATTGGTGCTGGGAGAAAACTCATTTTCTCCTCAGCCTCCCGCTGCATCCCCGGCTTCGTCTCGCTGCCCTGGGGCCATGTCCTGCCTCCCAGGCACCGTGAGGGGCTGCAGCTCACAGGGTCAGGACACAACCAGGACCCCTTGGTGACACCGGGCCAGGCAGCCAGTCCCCCCAGCACAGAGCCGTGCCCCCGGCC